AAAAACTGCTTTCATTTAATCACCACTGGGAATCCTTTCTGACTGCAATCAGCATGGCTGCTGCTAACCTTCAGGAGAGCAACACTTTGCGTCTTCTTGTCCACACGTTTTCCGTTGACAGGAAGTGGAGCGATTATATCGAATCGATTGCTACGTCTACTTCAAGGAAATTTGCTTCAGTGAGTCGCGCCAAAAATTCTTCTCGTCAGAATCAATCAACGGCCTTCCCAACTTTGTATCTATGCAGATGACACAACTATTTACTTCTGCCTTAGAATCAGATCCGATAAGGTATAACTGGCAAACTGCTCTTGAAAAGGACGAATTCTTTCGGTGGAATGAAATGAAACAGTGATGATGTTGTACAAAAGTGTTGAAAGCTTTTTAAGAACATTGATTTCGATTTAGTCTGGCTCATGGCTACAAACGAGGGGAGCTAGTGATGATTGACGTCCTTAGATCATTGTTTTTCAACCTTGTGTTCAATTTATGGCGCCAAAGATTTCCAGGCCCGCATGAGCAGAAATAGAAATTCCATGTAACAGGAAATACATTTTATTTGCCAAAGCAAAATGGGGTAGAAAATATAAAGACTCATTTAAAATATTTCTCAGGACGACTTTTGGGCCTAAGGGCCCACATTGAGAATTAGTGTATTCGAGTAACACTCTTGCAATAAACCTAAATTGAGGCGCCAGAATGTATTCACTAATGCCTTGGCATGGCATGAAGCCATAATTGTAGGGTGCTCACTGAGGATTGAACCCTCTACGTTACATTACATTGTTAAAGTTTGGAAATCCCAGCCAATGACCTGGTATCATTGAATTCCATCAGTATTTTAAAGTAAACATTTTCTTTGCTGAATTTAAAAAAAAGAGTTACTTTTTTTATGTTTTAAATTCATTTCTCACCAAGCAAGGCGAGAATGGACGCAGTGGATTACAAGGCGTCAAAGAGCATGAGAAGACTTTAATGAGGAGAAGTGAGGAAAAGGACAATAAAAGAACAGAATTTGAAATGATGACGATTGACGTTGCATTTAAATTTGAAGCGAGTTTAACAGAAGAGAATGCCAGAAAAAACACTATTAGAACAGAAATGACGATGGCATTTAGCTAGTTCAACAATAAAACGTTGAGACCTAATTGCCACTCTAGTCGCACGTTTAAATTCATGTAGTTGAGGTACTAAGGAGAACAGCTAATCAGAACAATATTTGTAGCAAAGACAAAGCAAAGCCATATCACGATGGTGAGAAGGTGATTGAAGTGGAGATGCCAGATCAGGATTGATTACATTTTCAGATCTTTTTTTGAATTTTGTCCAGAATCTCGAAATATACAGATTAGGTATGGCTGTAGATTTATAAATGTGAAAGAAGCATTCTGAAGAATTGTCTGGCACGGTACAGTGAACCGACTTTCCTTGCAGTAGATCTAGCAATTGATTCAATATAATCACCCCATTTCATGTCAGTGGAAAAGATGAGCCCAAGAAGGCACAGAGATTTGCCCTCCTGGAGTTTAGGATCAGTCATGTTGATGGCAATCAGAAAAGATTATCTGTGGCGATTTAATGAAAACAGTTTTGTTTTGGAAACGTCAAAAACTACAAGCCATTCTTTGTCACCTACTGGAGGTGTTTTCGAGAGCAGTTTTATTTTTGACATTAAATATCTCAACAAAGGGTGATGTGTTTTTTAGTTAACCCACCTAACCCAGCTAATCTTAATATATTAAAAAGATCCAATCTCTTATTTTGAGTATGCTTCTTAACGCAATGCAGCAAAAACTATACATCGTAGCGAAACTTTTGCTAAGGCAATACCATGAGATACCAAAACTAAGGAAGACTTGGATTTCCTGAGCTCGAAATGGGATGTGCAGGTCGGGAACACTAAAATCAAGAAGACACGGAAGTTTAAATATCTGGGAAGCGTTTTGACAGAGGACGGGAAATGCAGCACTGAAACCCGTAGACGTGTTGGAATGGCCAAGGACACATTCCAAAAGCTGGGTAGTGTATTGCAAGACTTCGTTGGTAACCAAGGAAAGAATACTGAGCTGTTAGGTGACAACTGTCCTTTACGGCAGCAAATGTTGGGCGATTTCCTCAAAGATGAAGAGATTCGAGGCGATGGAGATGTGGTTCTACAGAAGGATGCTAAGGATATGGACCGAGCGTGTGAGCAACGATGAGAGGATGCAAACAAGGAGAAGGCTTATACTTAACATCAGGAAAAGGCAGTTGAAATTTCTAGGACACATAATGAAGAAGAAGGGCCTGGAGAATCTGATACGGGTCGAATAGAGGAAAAGAGAGACAAGGGAAAACAACGCGTGACATACAGGCGGACTTAAGCAAATGGATGACAGAACGTGGTCTGGGGGAGGAAGCCTGTTGAGAGCTGCAAGGGATAGAGAGAGGTTGAGAGCCATGATCGCCTATATCCTGAAAAGAACATAGCACATAAAAAGAAAAGAAAGAAAGATGAATACAATTGTGTACAGCATACGGGCGCCTTGGGCCAGGAGCTGAAAATATTAGGTTGTTACATATATTCGTTTGGTTTTTCTGATGTTCTGCTATTGGTCTCGAAGAATACTTTTTGGTAGAATCATTTTCTTAGTAACTTTGGCCATCCTGTGAAACTCTTGTTTAACGTTAATGAAATTTTTTTTCAGATTCTTAGACAGCCGTTTGGGATGGAATTTGAGCATGTCCGATATCAACGTCACAAAGCTGTTCGAAATATTTTTGTTGTGTATAGAGATGACTTAATTACCGACAAAATGGAACGGAAATGGTTTTTTCGTTTCAAGGATGGGAAGTTCGTACTCAGAGACTCTCCGTGTTCTGGTCGTCCTGCTCAGTTTGATGAGAACCAGTTGTACGCGCTGATTAAAGAAGGACCACTCGGGAATTGTCTCAGATGAGGGTAAGCTCTCATTTTACTGTCGCTCGTCATCTTCACTCATTGGGTAAGGTTCAGAACGATCAAACAGTCAAGGCTGAGCTGTATTTTTGAACAAATAGAGAGGCTCAAAGAGGCAACCTAGCTGAAAAGACCTGGCCGGTGATACAATGTGATTATTTAACATGATAAAGCTCGTCCTCACATCGCTAACATGACTAAACATGTAAGGGCTCAAATGTGAAGTTCTGCCACAAAAACCATATTCACCAGAATTACCCCCTTCAAACTACCACCTTTTTTCGGTCGCTTTCTAACAATTTGAGGGGTGTTCCATTCAACAACGATGTGGTGCTTAAAACGTGGTTTGATGAATTTCTCGAGTGGAAACCTAATGATTTTTATTGTCGAAGCTTTGAACGGTTAGTCGATTGTTGACAGGTGTTCGTAAGCAATGAAGGGTGACTGATTGTTGAATAATTCATCAGAACTATTTATAAATAATAAGTATTAAAATAAATTATAAAAACGAATGAATTTATTTAACAAACTAAAATGTTTGGATAATTCAAAATTCCGGATAATTGATTACGTAAATGCCGGATAATTGAATACCTAAATGCCGGGTAATTGAATACCTACATTTTCGAAAAAGAATGAAGAACATGTTCATTTACTGAAAGACATTTAAAAAAAAGTTTTATCAAGTTAAATATGAGAAAAAAAAAAAAGAAATTAAAAAATTATAGAAGGTGTCCACAAAGATTGTTTTTGTTAAATCATTTCATCCCAAGTAGGGCGGGAATGCCACTAGTACGCAGCGGGTTACAGGGAGTGAAAGTGACAGAAAAGACTGCGTATAGGGAGGATTGAAGAAAGGATAAAAGATGGACGAGTTTCAAAAAGATAAAAAGATGGCAATTGACGTTACATTTAAATGTTTGAAAACTGTAATTATCAGAGAAACAAGAAAACGGAAAGGAGTTCCACAAGCGGGAAGTGCGAGAAAATAAACTGTTGGAGTAGAAATGGCGTTTGCATTTAGCTATTTCAACTGTAAACGTGTGGGACCTATATGCCAATCTAGTAGTACGCTTAAATTCTTGTAGTCGGGGCACCAGTGAAAAAAAAAATGCTCTTTAAACTATTTCAAAAAATCATTACGAAAAACCTAGAAGAGATGGCAACTAGATTTTTTGTTGCCCATCAATATGCTATTATTGTGTGTGTCATCCGTCGGTCTCAAGAAATGTTGGATCTGCGTCCAAAGAGTTATGCCTCTGTTGCTGATGGAACTGTAGCATCTGTTATAGCTGTACAGGCCCACACGGGAGTGACAGTTTCAAATGCAACGAACGGATATGAAAAACGCCAATATCGCCTTGTTGTTTTCTTTACGTCGATTACTCTTGTCCCCGACGACAAGCTTTCGTTTCTCCTCTCCTCGGTGGAAATCGCATCTCCAGCGTGGGCAATCGTTAGCGACGTCTTCCCACCTCTCGATATCTATATCCATCACCCTCATGTCTCTTTTGCAGACGTCCTTGAAGCGAAGATGTGGTCGTCGTCACGTCCTTTTGCCGGTGGCCAGTTCTCCGTACAGAATTATCTTCGGAATCCTCCCATCCGGCATATGGTGTACATGTCCAAGCCAGCGGAGCCGACACTGTGAGAGAAGGGCGTATGTTATTATTAAAGTTCTTTAAATTATATCCATAGTTTTATTAATGTCATGTTTTTATGTTTCAGACCGTAATCAATGTTGTTTTTGTTTCAAACCGCATGATTTTGTCGACGCCCTATATTATCAAATATGTTCAAGCACTTTTTTTGTTTTATGAAAAAATACTTTTCTTTTCGTTTCCGGTCGGACCTGGCGTTTTTCTGGCGCTAATTCCCGCAGCTGAATTAAAGTAGATATATTTGCAAGTGTAGCTTCTGGTTGGAAACGTAATCATTGCCTCGATGTTTGGGTCACAAGACAGGTTTCCGCTTTATGAACAGTTACATTTGATACAGTGAATCGTATTCTGAAAAAAAATTCTTGGCCTGAAGGATTGTAGAAGATTAAATGAACAGTTAA